TGGAATGGAGATCAGAAAGCGAAACAGAGAGAGGAAAAGAGGCTGGACACATGCTCTGTATCAGCATATATAATATAAGAGGCCACGCCACAGTGGGTGGGTTACCACTGGCTGTAAGAATTCCTACAGCACAGGAATCCGGCATAACTGCTGAAGCCTGAAGCCAGCTGTCTTCAGCACATGTCTTATGGTTCAGGTATCTTCAATATCCTTGGATACTTTTAGAATTTACACAGCCTTTTCCATGTCTCATGTCTTCGTTTGCTGTGTTTAAGCTCTCTACCTGAAACTAACTGATGGGAAAGAAAGGTTCATTTCAGCTTATAAATAAATCCAGGCCATAGTCCCTCATCAAGGGAATTAGGAGCAGAAACTCAAATAGAAATTGTAGCAGAAAGTGCACAAAATGCTACTTACTGACTCACTCTGTATCATACTAAGTTATCTTTCCCAGTTATGGGAAATCTCATCCTCACACCACTCAAGAAAATCTCTATAGACATGAACAGAGCCAATCTGAAGGGCACACTTTTTAAAATGATGATCTGTCCTCCCTGGTGACTTTATACATGTTGTGTCAAGTTTATTTTACAAACACACACACATCCATCTTGGATTCATACATTGTATTATGGCTCTGCCAAACATTGACTAGCCTTAGTTACCTTCCATGACCACCTTAATGTGTTTTATTTATTTATTTTTATTTTTTCTTAGTTTTGTTTTTTCTTTTTTTAAATTTATTTATTTATTTGTTTATAAAAATTTCCACTTCCTCCCCTCCTCCCCATATCCTCCCATTCCCCCCACTCCCTCTCCTCCTCCCTCTCCAGTCCTAAGAGCAGTCAGGGTTTCCTGCCCTGTGGAGAGTTCAAGTTCCTCCCCTCTCCCTCCAGGTCTAGGAAGGTGAGCATCCAAACAGACTAGGATCCCAAAAAGCCAGTATATGCAGACAAAACAAGACCCAGTGCCATTGTCAATGGCTTCTCAGTCAGCCCCCATGTCAGCCACATTCAGAGACTTCGGTTTGATCACATGCTCATTCAGTCCCAGTCCAGCTGGCCTTGGTGAGCTCTCATTCGATCAGTCCCCTTGTATCAGTGGGTGAACGTACCCCTCGCGGTCCTGATTTCCATTTTCATGTTCTCCCTCCTTCTGCTTCTCATTTGGACCTAGGGAGTTAAGTCCTGTGTTCCAATATGTGTCTCTGTCTCTATCTCCATCCATCGCCAGATGAAGGTTCTATGGTGATATGCAAAATATTCATCAGTGTGGTTATGGGCCAAGGCCAGTTCAGGCATCCTCTTCTCTGCTGCCCAAGGAACAATCTGGGGACCTCTCCTTGGGCCTGGGAACCCCTCCAGAATCAAGTCTCTTGCAAACCCTAAAATGGCTCCCTTAGTTGAGATATATACTTCCCTGCTCCCATATCCATCCTTCCTCCCTCCCCTCCCATCCCAGTCCCCCAAGCCATCCCCAATCCTCCCCCTCTCCCTTCTCTCCAACCATCTCCACTTACTTCCACCCCCCCCCCCCGTGCACCCAAGTTTGCCTGGCAATCTTGTTTACTTCCAATATCCAGGAGGATAACTATATGATTTTCTTCAGGTTCACCTTCTTATTTAGCTTCTCTAGGATCACGAATTATAGACTCAAAGACCTTTAACTATGGCTAGAATCCACTTATGAGTGAGTACATACCATATTCCTCTTTTTGGGTCTGGATTACCTCACTCAGTAAAGCGTTTTCTATTTCCATCCATTTACATGCAAAATTCAAGATGTCATTGTTTTTTACCGCTGAATAAAACTCTAATGTGTATATGTTCCACACCTTTTTTAACCATTCTTCTATTGAGGGGCACCTAGGTTGTTTCCATGTTCTGACTATTACAAATAGTGCTGCTATGAACACAGTTGAACAAATGTTTTTGTAGTATGATAGGGCATCTCTTGTGTATATTCCCAAGAGAGGAATTGCTGGGTCCTGAGGGAAGTTGACTCCCAGTTTCCTGAGAAACCGCCACACTGATTTCCAAAGTGACTGATCTTCACCAACCCCTCATCAGACAAAGGTCTGATCTCCAAAATATACAAAGAACTCAAGAAACTAGACACTAAAACTCTAATTAACCCAATTAAAAAATGGGGTACTGAACTGAACAGAGAATTCACAACAGATGAACTTCGAATGGCCAAAAGGCACTTAAGGTCATGCTCAACCTTCTTAGCGATCAGGGAAATGCAAATCAAAACAACTTTGAGATACCATTTTACACCTGTCAGAATAGCCAAACTCAAAAACATCAATGATAGCCTATGCTGGAGAGGATGTGGAGTGAGGGGAACACTCATCCATTGTTGGTGGGAATGCAAACTTAATGTGTTTTAGACAAGTGTCAGCCTTCTGTGAACCATAGTTGTATCAGCCATAGTGTGAGGAACCTGGAGGAACAATTTCCTAGGACATTGCATTTTGGTGAGAGGGAATCCTTACATTCAGCGCTTTCTTCCTTTAAATAAACCCAATTTCCATATGATGGCACCTTTAAGAAATGACCCTTACCTGAGTGCACTGATCTTGTTCTGGTGCAGTACAACCCATTTCTGTGATGCTGTTGGTCTCTTCACCACATGCTGTGGTGGTACATGCCTGTACCACCCTGAAAACTAGCTCATTTCTGAATCCAGTTTTACTCCAGTTTCAGGACACAGGCGGAGTGAACTCAGACTCATGGTCAAAATATGATATAAGTGGTCCCTATTGCCCTTCTTCACAGAATCCCTGTTCTTTCTCGAAACTCATGAGGTGGTCCACCACTGTCTGAATTTATTTAGATATTCTTGTCTTGTAATCTCATGCGAGAATGTTCCAATTAGCTGTTTACAGTAAAATTTTGTTTCTTACCAAAGTTCCAGTCTGTTACATATTCTTCCCCAAACTAGCTCCAAACTCCTTCCAATAATAGTGAGGGTGCTGAATTTTGATGTTAGATTTTACTTGAACATACACATGTTAGGTATCATTATGACATGCTCACCATCATTTGGTTTGTTCATCCTCCCTCACTCTTTTTCTCCAGTTTCTGGGAACCTGTCCTTCCACTCCAGCAGCCCCCTTTTCATTTTTACCATCACATGCACTCTGTTGATTCTATTTTCTATACCTGGTTATTTAAAATCTCTTTCCTCTTTAGTTTAATTGTGGGAGCCCACATGTGACTGTCTCCATTTGTAGATTTCTGACTTAAAGAAGTCATGTGACTTCAAGCTTGCTTATGTGCTTGGCTTTTTCTATAATCTTGATGACTCGAGAAAGTTATGATTAACCCACGGGAAAAAGCATTTTGTTGAATGTTCTGTTGAAAGAGCACATTTTTTCCCATTAAGATTTGGGCTGCTGTATGCCAGCAAGAGGCACTCTTCATTAAAGCTTAGAAGCTGCTTAACTGAATAAGATAAAGCACCTGTTTGAGCTTCCTCCCAAGGACAGTGCAGGGAGGTGGTTAGTTATCTGTGCTGCTCTTTTTTTTCTACCGTTTGTCTGCAGTATATATGCTGACTGAGAAATAAACTCAGGGCTGTTTAGTATTGACTTCAGTTCTCCTGCTTTATTCTATGTTTCTGTCTTCAGCCTCTTGCCTTCTCCCAGGTACTCTTTGCTGATTCCTGCCAGAGTGGGCTATGACATTTAATTATCTATACACACATGTGGATATCAAAATTATAAGCTAGAATCAGCTTCTGAGTGAGCACATGCAGTATTCATATTTATGAGACCAAGATACCTCCTATTACATGCTAATTTTCAGTTCAATTTATTTTCTTAGAATTTTAGAATTCTGCTTTTTATAAAGCAAAAATAAAATTCCATGCTGTATATATACACTCGTTTTAGTGTCTACTCTTTCATAAGGGGGATGGATGCTGATTTCATTTCTCAATGTTTATGAATAAACAGCAGTATTTAATATAGATATGCAGTGTAAGTATTTCTGTGTAGGCTGTAGTCCTTTGGGTGTATGCCCTAGAATGACATAATGAGTCAGATCCTACTTCTGGTTTTAGCTTCTTAAGAAACCTCCACATTTTCTGTGTTGACTGACCCCTTTATGATTCTACAAACAATAAATTTTTCCAATTCCACACATCCTCAAGGCATTTATTATTTTCTTTCAGGTAATAGTCATTATTTTGTATGAGATGAAACTCACTGTAGATTTAATTTGCATCTCTGAAAGGTTGAATTGCTAAAGATATGGCATATCTAAATAGTAATTTTTTATTTTACAATTATCCCTTTCTTTCTTTCTTTCTTTCTTTCTTTCTTTCTTTCTTTCTTTCTTTCTTTCTTTCTTCTTTCTCTCTTTTTTCTTTCGTGTGTGTGTGCTTTGTGTGTATGCATGTGTCTGGGAATACATATGCCAGAATACCAGTTTGGAGGTCAGAGGACGTTTACAGGTCTTGTCTCTCTCCTTTTGCATTGCATTAAGATCCTTAAGCTTACTGGGCCTTAATTATAGAAGTATTTTCTAGCCCTCATACACTTTATAGGCGGGCTGCACTTCCTGAGAAAGGAAGGGAGGAAAAAGGAAGAGAGGAGAGGAGAGGAAAGGAAAGGGGAGAAGAGAGGGGGAGAGGAGATGGAGGAGAAGAAGAGAAGAGAGAAAAGGGAAGGAGAGGGAAGGGGAGGGGAAGAGAAGAGAGAGGGGAGAGGAGAGAGGAGGAGAGGGTAGGAGAGGAGAGAGGGCCTCAGATTGCACATTTATGGTACTTTTGCCTCTACCTCTGTTTTCTGAACTCTGGAATTTTCCCAACTTCACTTTGAACTCTTTAACGTATACCATGTCTTGGGATTACGATTACATACGACTGTGGTATTAAATAAGAGTTTGAACAGTTGTCTCAGTTGGATTCTTGTGCATTTGCTGTTAATGTTGCTGTAAGTTCCCTCCTAGGCACCTGTAGTTGGAGCGAGATGAATCTTAAAGTTGTTCTTGTCATTGAGATCGTACCTTAAATTTTAGAATTTTCTTGGTGGCATCTTTTACATCTTTATTTCTCAAACTGTAAATCAGTGGGTTGAGTACTGGAATGATGATGGTGTAGAATACTGAGATGATTTTATCAGTACTGGGGGAATAGAGGGAGCTGGGCCGAGAATAAATGAAGAGCAGCGTGCCCTGGTAGATGGCCACGGAGGTGAGGTGAGAGGCACAGGTGGAGAAAGTTTTCTTCCTCCCACTTGTAGAGCGGATCTTCAAGACGGAGAGAAGGATGAAGAAGTAGGAGACGATGATGACGATGAAGCAGATGACCTCCACAGAACTCCCATATGTGGAAAGCAGCCATTCGTTAATGGACGTGTCCGTGCAGGAAAGCTTCAGCAGAGGAGGGAGGTCACAGAAGAAATGATTGATGACATTTTTGTCGCAATATTTTAGAATAAAGGCGAAAGATGTGTGCACCAGGGAACTCATGTTGCCACCAACATATGACAGCACGACCAACCATATGCACAGGTTCCGGGACATTGCAACTGTGTACAGCAAAGGATTGCAGATGGCAACGTAGCGATCATAGGCCATGGCAGCCAGGATAAAGGACTCAGTATCCGCAAACGTACAAAAGAAATAAAACTGGAGAGCACAGCCAATGTAAGAAATAGATTTTTTTGCTGAGAGGAAATTGACTAGCATGTTGGGAACAATTACTGAGGAATAGCACAGGTCTACAAAGGAAAGGTTGCTAAGGAAGAAGTACATAGGGGTTTGAAGGTGTGGGTCTGTCCTAATTAACAACATCAAGCCAATATTCCCTGTTAAAATCATCCCATACAATGTCAGAAACACAAGGAATAAAACAACCTGGAGTGCAGGTCTTGTTGGAAAACCTAACAAGATGAATTCAGTGACCAAAGTATAGTTTTCAATTGTAAACTCCATGCTGGTGTAGTTTTTTTTTCTTTGTCCTTTTTTGAGAACTGTAAAAGCTCAAAAATATGACAGGTCAGAAGAGTAAGATAATTCAGAATAACCTTATTTAAATATTTTATAAAGGCTAGTTAAATAAACAAAAGGTCTATGATCAAACTGTTTCCAAACATAATATCTGAGAGATTTATTTCAGAATTTGGTCAACAATTGAACTGAAGGAGTCTTTATGTATTTTGATTCACCACTCCTTTTGACACTGCACTACTGACTTTTCCTATTCTAGGTCAGAACAAGGCATGCTTTTACTTACATTTCTTCTCAAATATAATGGAGTATATGGGTGCTAAGAATGAAGAAGTCATTGATGAAAACACAATGTTAAAGGAAAAATTATATTTTAAATTGATGTAAATTTATATCTCATGTCTTCCTTTTGGCAACAAAAATTTTAGGACAGTTTACTTCCCTTTCTTTTCGTTCCTCCCCACCTATACACATTTAAAATACAGGCATGATGTGTTGTGCCATTCTAACACAAGCTAGAGTCATTGAAGAGGAGAAAGGTCCCTCCTTGGAGAATATTTCTCCAAAAGATTGAATGGTAGACAACACTATAAGGCATTTTTTCTTAATTAGTAATTTATTTGAGAGGGCCTAATTGCTTGTGAATCAGTCTACTTCTTGGCTGGTGTTCTGGGTTCTATAGGAGAGCTGTATGAGCAAGCCATGATGAGCAAACCAGTAATCTTCACCCATCTACGGCCTCTGCATCAATTCCTGCCCTGTTTGAGTTCCTGTCCTGACTTTTTTGAAGATGAACAATGATTTAGAAGTCTGAGATAAATAAACCCTTTCTTCCCCAAGTTGCTTTGGACATGGTGATTCAGTACAGCAATATTAATGCTAACTAAAACACATGGGTTTATTTTTGGAAGTGTTGATGTAGTAGTATTACAAAACCCATACTAGGTAAACACTTATATTTTCCAACTATAGAACAGAAGCATTATTAGTGAAATTAAATTAATTTTCAGGAACATTAAGCAGAATATATTTCAGTGAGAGAAAATTAGAATAATTCCATTAGTGTTTCTCATATATTAAGCAAGCTGATAATGTTGATCGTTTGTTTTTGTACCTTTGGTAAATAGTGCTTACCTAAAAGCAATAACTACTAAATACTAAGTAGTTAACTCAATAAAGTATGGACAACATTTAGTCATAAATTAATTTATAATAGCTTTAAATTATCTGGTCATAAATTAATTTATATTAACTTTAAATTATCTGGCAGTTTCATGAATAAATACAAGTAATAAAAATAGCTGACAATTTTATTGTACTATGAAACAAATAGTATATGAGATGCCTGTCAATCATGATTTCTGTGCTCTCAGCAAACTTAAATGGTAGGACATGAAGTAGTTGAATGATTTTACTTGATTCAATCTTGAAGTAAAAGAAATCTGTACTTAATCTTGAACATTGTCTTGAAGAATGTAAAACAAATGAACAAAGTATTCAACAAATATACAAATGTTGTCTAAGAGAACCATAAAGGGAAATACAGCTGATTCTGGATTAGTCCTTTATTCCATTATTAGAATAATTTGTGCTAAGGTAGTGTTGATGATAGGAATGACGTCTTTCATGCTCAGTGATTAAAACATCCCTACAAAATGTGTTCATCAAAGCCCAGGTGGCTGGTTGCCAGAAAGTTATACTCAAATGTGTTTATCAACGGAGAGTGTGATGGTGTGTCACATTTTATCTAGACAGTGGAAATAATTTCTTTTGTTTTGTCTGCTTTTAGCAATACATTAAATTTAAATTAAGGTGAATTAAGTTATAATCTGATTTCTTTACACATGTTATACTACTTTGTGAAACTTAATAAGCATTATAATCTATAAGGCAGCTATGATAAATATTTCAGTGGTTCTGTATTAAATTAAAGAATAAAATATCTACTTATTTGTTTGTCAGTCTGCCAATTTTTCATTTGTCTGTCTATCCTCTATCTATAATCTCTTGATCCACCCACTTTCTAGTTATCGTCTCTCTGCACTACTCTTTAGACAGAATAACATGGAGAAAACTGTATTCTACTTATGCTGACACGGCTTTACCAACAGTAACTACAAGTTGTTTAAGGCTTCTCGAGTATAGCAAAGAATTCCAAATAGTTTTGGTGTAGCTAATTGTATTGTCTTATAGATGGTAAAATGAAGAAACAGGAAATTTGAGTTGAAAGGGGAAATTGACAAAAAACTTAAGATTAAAAAAAATTGTTTCAAAGTTGTATAATGCATTAGTTCCACAAAATTACATTCTTATTCATATCAAATGTCAGGTAGATGCTTGGAATAATGTACAAAGACATTAGACTAGGAGTTAACAGGAATGATTTAAATTGAAATGTGTTTTTAGTCAAACACTGGAGGAGAAACAAACATTGTGGTTGCTCAGAATGTATAGTTAGATCACACTGAGACAGGCTGAAAACCAGAAATGTTTTCTCATTTGCTGGAAAATAATGGCAGCCGCTCCTGTGGGATTCTCTGAATGTGGCTGACATGGGAGCTGACTGAGAAGCCTTTGACAATGGCGCTGGGTCTTGTTTCGTCTGCATGTACTGGCTTTTTGGGATCCTAGTCTGTTTGGATGCTCACCTTCCTAGACCTGGAGGGAGAGGGGAGGAACTTGAACTTCCCACAGGGCAGGAAACCCTGACTGCTCTTAGGACTGGAGAGGGAGGAGGAGAGGGCATGGGGGGAATGGGATGGTATGGGGAGGAGGGGAGGAAGTGGAAATTTTTATAAATAAATAAATAAGTAAATAAAAAAAATTCCTTGTGGTTGTCTAAAAAGATAAATGATAACAGGAGTCAAAGGCACACAGAGAAGAAGCAGAACACAGAAAAGTCTTAACTCCTCAGAAAATAGATAAAAATTGAATGATAAAAAAATTCACAAAATTTTTATACAGTTCTAGCAAAATGTGTTCAATTATAACATAAAGTATGTCAAATTATCAGACTGACAGAATGATAATTTCTTATTTGAAACAAAAAATGTATTTACACAAGAATGTTACCGATTACTGCACAGTGCTTGTCAGAAAAAAATATACTATTTGTGCAGACAAAAGCAATTTATAAATAGATTTTTGCACTGAGTCACCTATTTTTATTTTGTTCATATTTACAAAACCTAACTTTTATGCAGAGAAAACCCATCTAAATCCACACAAATGTGACTTACCAAGGAAAGGACAGTTTTCTAGTAGACAAAATGAATAATTTCATATAGGAATTAAGGGCTTTTACTATATTTTTATGCCAATGGGAGTCGAATGAATGAGATCCCAGATGAATATTTCCAAGGGATTGTGGGGATCTCTAATGGCGTCACTGCCACTGGGATATGTGTTCCTGAAAATGCACTGGTGATTACTGAGAAATACTGTCATTATTCATTATTTGAAGAAGTAATTATCACTCTGAGTAATATTTGGGTTGTTTCCTTTGCTTTACTTGTTAGAATTGGGAACTAACTCTAGGGAGTCAAGTAGGATAGAAAAGTATGCTCTGCCGATGAGGTTGTCCCTAGTTGTGGTATTAATTTTAACAACTTGCAATCTTACAAAGAATGTCTTTTATAAGTAAAAGTTCTCTGTAATTAGCAGCATATTTAAGATTTTAATCTTTGTGGCTAAATTATTTCAAATGTCACAAGAAAAAATAAAAACTTTACTGTAAAATATCAGTATTGTAAATTCATAATTCTTTTCAAATATTGAGGGTGCCTATAGGAGCTCTTAATGCAAATATTGTCAAGTGCAGGTACTTTCTGAGAATAGGGAGGTGACATAAAAACTTTCATACACAAGTTAGTAAATACATCAGTTTGATTGGCTGATTTATGTTGTCCATAATAGGTTCATGAAGGCAATTGAATTTTAGTAGCTTTCTATTTATAATAAAAGACTGACAATCGTGCTCGACTTCAGTCTCAGTGTAATTGTATCTCAGAGCAAGAATCCCATAGCTTGTTCTCATCCTGCAAATTTTAAATATTGAAGATTTCTGACTTCTGCCATTCAAATCTGAATTGGTGTCAGTCATTATTTTCTAAACACACACACTAACTTTCTACTGTAACTTAGGAAAATAATAAGCTCTGTGCAGGCGATTTAACTCCATGCATAAATAAAAATTTATAAACTTAACAAAAATATAATATTTTCATACTTAATCATTTTATTTAAATGGTTTGAATGTTTAATAATTTACTATTTAAAACATATTTGCTGAATATGCTTTTCTTGTTACAATGAATTTAAATTAAAAAGTATAAATATTTAGAATCATATTACACTATAAAAATGCCCCTTCAAGAAAGGCAGGACCATGAGGAGTGCGTTCACCCACTGATACAAGGGGACTGATCTAATGAGCGTTCACCAAGGCCAGCTGGACTGGGACTGTAGGAGCACGTGATCAAACCGGATTCTCTGATTGTGGCCGGATTCTCTGAATCCGGGGCTCGGGGACTGTCTGAGAAGCCATTGATAATGCCACTGGGACTTGTTTCCTCTGCATGTACTGGATCTTTGGGATCCTAGTCTGTTTGGATGCTCACCTTCCTAGACCTGGAGGGAGGGGGGAAGAACTTGAACTTCCCACAGGGCAGGAAACCCTGACTGCTCTTAGGGCTGGAGAGCGAGGAGGCGAGGGAGTGGTGGGAGTGGGAGGGTATTGGGAGGAGGAGCAAAAGTGGAAACTTTTATAAATTAATAAAAAAATAATAAAAAATAAAGAATAAAAAAGAAATAAAAAATAAAGAAAAAATCAGAAGGAAACCATAAAAAAATGCCCCTTCAGTTTTGTTTAACTTCTTTGTAGAAAACAATAAAATCCGAACTTTCTTTTAATTACATGGCTTATTTAAAATGTACATATTCAAGCCCTGATAGACAATTAGAAAGTTAGGACCATTATTGACAACA